CCAGGAAAAGGGGGTGCTAATACCTCACAGGAGACTTCTGAGGTTGAAAGGACATCCTGTAAGGGGGAAATGCTATAAAGTAGACACTCAGATCTGTATCCATGCATCCCCTCTTAGGCAGTGGAAGGGTTTGTTGCAGTTCTCACCCACTCTACCATGCTTCTTTGGGCTCCAGTGCACTGCACACTCCGTGCCTCATGCTCTCTCATGTCTCCCTGCTGCTGCACACAAATACGTAAATGCATTCAGCACACCCTCCCTAAGACCCTGTGTTGGACCCTGGGGCCACAGAGATGACTCTCACTTGGTTCCTGTCCTTGACGTCCTAGCCTAGGCAAAGAGACAGGCTTGTCCATTTGAGGTTTTGTGTGATGAAAAGTGATGCTTGAGTCATCCACTCAAAAAATGCTTCGGGAGCTCAGAGTTGGGTTGGTTAGAAAAGGCTGGCTGAGGCTGGAAGGGTGTGAGATAAAGGAGAGCAAGCCAAATAGAGGGAACCTTGTAAAGCAAAGGCTTGGAGTGAGAAAGCCAACATAGTCAACGGTGATGAAACACTCCCTTTATGCCTGTCAATGTACTAGGCACTGTGCTAGGTGCCTGGGCTCCTCTCAACATTCATTTTGCAGATGAGAAAGCTGAGGTTCAGGGAGCGAAGCGGCTTGCTCAAGATCACACTGCTAAGAAGTGGCAGAGCCAGGATTTGAACCCACCTCTGTGTGTCTTCAGATGCCCTCCACCAAGCCTCCCTGCCTCTCTGGGCTGGATACCACGAAGGACTCAGAGATGAACTTCACTGCGATCCTGATCCCAGGGGCTCCCAGGTTAATGAGGGTCATGTGATTGGTACCCAAAGAACAATCACAAGAGGAGACCTAAGGGAGACAGAAGCTTGGAAATAGATACAAAGGGCAATGATGACTTGGAAGAGGGAGTGAAGAAACCTTGCTGGAAGCTTCAGGGACAACTTCACGGTGGGGATATACCCACAATGGGCATTGCCAAACTGATAAAGTTTGGGGGTACTAGCTTTTTGTAATAATTGACCTAGGTTGTTAAGTAATCTGCACATCTCCCCAAGCCTCATTTAATGTGTGGGGAAAGTGGGCTCCCAAAAGATTAAATAACTTGCCCACAGCCCCACAGCTGTGAAGTGGCAGAGCTGAGACTTGAACCTGTGTCCTCCCAGTCCATGACAGTTCTATGCCTGCTCATGGCAGAGGTAACAAAAGGAGCATGTCAGGCATGTGGCTGAAGAAGGGAAGTGAAAAGAAGAAACTTGGTGGAAAAGTCAAGGCCACATCATGGGTCCCGAATGTGACCCTGAAAAACATAGATGATACTTGACTTTTTGACTTTTGAATGATTCACCTGGTTCTAAATGTAGGTGAAAAGGGGTGGGAGAAGAGAGAAGTGAGGTGAGTGTCTCGTGCTAATGTCTGGGTGGAAAGGTGTGCAATGTGAGTAGTGTGCCTTGGACACTGGGTAGAAGCTAGATGCAGGAGGCACAGTGGAGGTAGATCTGGCAGCATGTGGCTAGCTCCCCTTTTAGACCCACATGATCCAGACCTCTACTCCACTCTCCCACGCCGTCTCCTTCTACCCTCCCCTTGCTCCTGCATGTTAGCCATGCTCACCCTCAGAAAATGCCAACTTTGCCTCCACCCCAGGTCCATTGCATTTGCTATTTCTTCTGTCCAGAGCTCCTCCCCTTCTTCGAACTTTGCGTGGCTGATTGCTTCTCCTTCCTCAGGTCTTAGCTTACACATCACCTCCTCAGAGAGGCCTTCCCTTATCATCCTGTGGAGGTAAGGGCTCAGTCACCACTGCCTTCCCCAGCTTGACTGCCTTCATCACTCTTATCATAGCTCATGTTAGCTTGTGCGTGTGTTTATCACCTACCGCCCTCCTCTTGTCCATCTACTAGGATGTGTGCTAGAGGCTCGTGGAAACCTTGTGGGGCTTGTGGTCACTGCTGCATTCTCTGTACCTCCAGGCTGCCATATATGCCAGACTTTCTGCAACTACTTGTTGAATGGCAGAAAGTATGAGTGCTCGGATTGATGGATGGATACCTGTATGCATTGGTCATGGGGGAAGAGGAGAGGGAAGGCAGAGTTCTGGCTGATTTAGAGATTGGGGCGAGGATGACAACATTGCCAACAGAGGTAGGGCAGGCAGTGGGGAGCAGATTACATGTGGGAAGATGAGGAGTTTGGCTTGGGCCTGGTGAGACTGATATGCTGGAGGGGCCTGCAGGTAGACAGGCCCACTCACACAGTGGAAAATATTGGCCTGAGCTCAAGGAAGTGATGGGGCTCTGGGAGGGACAGGGGATATCTGCCCCGAAGTGTAAACTGAAACCATGGGCACCAGTGAAGTCCCTGATGAGCAAGGTGAGGCAGAGAGGAGGAAAAGGAAGAACTCAGGGGAATGACTGAGGTTGAGGTGGGCCAGAGGGAGAAGAGAAGTGAAAGGGGCAAGGGAAGAGGGTCATGAGCTGTGGTCAAAGAAGTGGGAAGAGCTCTCCTTGAATGGAGAAAGGAGGGCTTCCAGAGGGAAGATAGGTCCAGGGAGCCAAGTTCTCAAGGAGGAAGTGGAATGAAAAAGCAATCGGTACTTAGGATACAAAAAGGCCACTGGGATGTTTTGCACCTGATGAGGAGGTGGGTGTGTCCAGCATGGGGGCAGCTGAGGCTATGGAGGTTGGAGAGCCAAGGAGGTATATAGGACCTCGATGCCAAGCAGACATAATCCGCACACCCGCCCATCCACCCAAGCCCAGGCCCTTAGCACAGAGGCTGCCTGGCAAGGGGGAGGCAGGTAGGAGGCTGGGTAGGGGCGACTACCACTTATTCATGTCCATGTGTGCTACGAACTGTGCGGCCACAGTCATGGCCATTGACTCATTCAATCTTAATGACAACATTGCAGTATGTAAGTAATTATCAGCCTTATCTTCTGTGAGGAAAAAGAAATCAGAAAGGTTAAATGTGTCACTGAAGATCACAGCCAGGAAATGACGCAGCTCAGTGTGAACCTGGGTCTACCATCTATTCTCCGCCACTCTGGCAACAAGGCACCAGGGACTCAAAGCTAACACACTGAAGCTCTGAGATACATTGTCCAGTTTCCACGTGAGACTCACCGACTGCCTGGCTTCTTTGAGGAGCCGCATCAGGGGAAACACGGGAGGAGAGAATACAGGAAACAGGGCTGGGAATTTGAAGGGGAGAATCATCTAGCATTGGGGAAAGGAAGAGATCAAGTTAGAGCAGGCTGAGGTACACGACTGAGGGCTAGAAATGGTCACAGGCAGTGTTTCCCATGTGCACGGAACTGAGAGGCCCCATCATCACTGCACCCACAGGCCACGGTGGTCCATTTGTTGACTGCACAGTGGGCCCAGCAGAGAGGCTGCTTTATGGAGGGGAACGACACTAAGGTCCAGAGAAGCTCTCTTACTTGCCACTAACTCTCCCAGAATGCCAGATATGGGGAACCACCTTGGGAAGTTGGTGCCGGGCATGGGTCCAGAGCTGGAAGGTGGGAGGAATTCTCTGGCTCTTCCAAGAATCCCCCTCATACACAACTCTTTGTCTCCTTGTGACCATCACCCAGTGACAGCATGCTCAACCCTATGCTCTGTACCATTGCCACAGCCTCCTTCCGTGACCAGGTCAGGTGGTGCTTAAAGGTCAGAAGGTCCCCTGGCTGCTCTTGTCTGCCTCAAACTACTGGCTGGAGCTTCCCCCTAGTGTCCCTTAACACCATCACGGCTTGAGCCATCTCCCATCTCCCATAGTGACATGAGGGGTACCTCCACTGTTCTCCCATAGGCAAAGGGCTGATGGGACCTCTGTTCCACCTCACTCCCTCCTGAGGCTAGCTGAGATCCCCAGGTGGCAGCAATGAAGACAGGCCAAAGGCATGTAGGGACAGCCGAACCCAAGAGAAGAGAATGAAAGGTAACAGAGAAGTGGGACTTGACAGATGCCCCAACCTGTCCAGGCGGAGCAGGGCATGCCCAACACAACACTTACTGAGCCAAGCTTGTGCCAAGTTGTCACTGGCCTGCTTGGCCCACAAGGAGGCTGAGCTTCAGCTAGAGGGAGAGCACCTGGACCTGTTTGCCCCAGGCGACCCAGCAGCACTCAATGGGTACAAACATAGATTGGATCGAGTTGCCTATACTTCCTCTCTAGCAGCCCCTAGGAGCTTGGGAAATTTATGGCCACAGCAGTGGGGCCAAGATACCCCTTTCCTGTGGGGAAATAAAAATGAGGGGGCCTTTCTAGCCCCCTGGGGTTTGCTGGCCACTGGAGCCAGACCAGAAGCTGCCTTCAGGCACTCTGACCTCTCTTAGGCTGCTTTATGTGGCAAACGTGGTCTCCAAGCTGGCAGGGGCTGGGTTTTTTCACTCTTCATCCTGAAGCCTGGGCTGTGGGTAGCAGGTGAAGGAAGGAAAGCATAGCCAGGGGCATTTCTCCCTAGAGCTACTGTCAGGATGCCTGAGGTCATGCTTCTGTGCCACACAGATTGGGGACCCTGGCCAGATCAAGGGATAGGAGGGGGTCTGTGGCTTCTGCCCACACCCTGGCTTCTGGGAGTCCCACATTCCCCACCACCAAATCAACTCCCAAAGAGAAGAACTGAGGCCCTCCCCAATCCTACCATGGCCTGCCCCCAAATCCTACACCGGTAATGTTCACAATTTCTGACACTAACACAAAGCCCACAGTTGTAACCTGCCCTTGGTCCCTAACCCATCCTCTCAGGGAAGACAGCCACACAACCAAAGTCCATCTCTAGTAATGCTTTATTGTTCTGCTGAGGGGTCCCATGGTTCCTGCCTTCAGCCTCCCTCATCTTAAATGCCCTGTCCCCCTCAGGCTTTCCCGACCCCTGGTCGCACCCACAGATTATAATATACTCACAATAGAATATGTGTGCATATATAGATGTGCATATATATGTATCTATCTATATATATATATACACAAATACATACATATATATTCTGACTATACAGTATTTATAGGTACAAATAAAATAGGCTTAAAAATTACAGCATTAGCTGAAACCCATCCCACTCCAGTTTACTGAGCTGAAAGAAAAATGAAGCACCTGTTGGCATTTGAACGTCATTTGGAATTCCACATAAGCCAAGATGGCTGCTGGGTGGGATCAAGCCGCAGCTGGCTGAGGTGACACTCGGCCCTTCCATCTGGAGGGCCAGCTGCCTAAAGCAGGGGCCAGGTCTCTGCTTGATGACGGGGCTCTTGTGTCAGCCTGTTACCATAGGCAGGAGGAGCAGGAGAAGGGATACGGACACAGATATGTGTGTCTTCACTACTGTCTGCTTTTGCTGGGCCTGTGTAGTGGGATTGAGCCCATTTGCTCTCCAAACATAAGAGTATGTGACCAAAGGCTGCACAGGACACCGGCGAGTGGCAGATAAAGTAGGGGGCCCAAGCCAGGGAGATTGGTTCACTGGTCTCCTGAGACCTGAGAAAGGGAGCCCCCTCTCACCCCCACTCCCATATCCCAGGCTGCCCCAAACCATCCTGTTGCCTACTGCTAGTGCCCACTCTTTAAATCAGCCTCGTAAAAATCAGTATCATATTTACACAAATAAAAGAGTTCACAGTGATTGGGCTGCCCTGTGCTCACCCTCTCTAATTCCCTTTCTCTGAAAAAGCCAGTTCAGAGCCAAATATTAGGCCCAAAGGCAGGATTAGAGCCTCCTGCCAACCTCAAAGGGAACTGAGCACCCAAAAGGATGGCTTGGCCTCTCTGAGCGGCAGAGACCTGGACGCACACCCTGCTGTCTATCTCCTTCCCCCTGCAGGTGGGGGAGCTGGCAAGGTTTCAGATGGATGGTGCCTTGTTCTGTGGGCCAGGAGTGTCGCAGCAGTCATCTTCTTTGGAAAATGACTCCTCCCTCTTAGGAGGACAGAACACAGGCTCGTGGGTGCAGGTGGAGTAGAGACAGGACACTTGAAATTCTCTTCCCCTCCCTTATACATGTGGAGGAGCTTCAGGCAGCCAAGGGGACAGCAGGCTGCCAGATCGGCAAGGGCCCAGCTCTGCCCCTGGAAGCAACACATGAGGGCTGCTCTCCTCCCCTCACCCGCTTCCTCCCTTGGTACGAAGGGGCCAGGTAGGGGGTGAGGCTCATAACTTTGTCTCAGGGCCAGCTGCCTGCAGGGTGGGGAAGGAGTCCCGGATCTTTGCCACTTCCATGGCACACAGGTGCCCAAATACTTTGTTGTACCAGTCAGGAGAACGGCCCCTGTGGAGGTAGAAGCAGGCCAGCATGAGCCATGGGTTACGGCCTGGAGCTCTTGCCAGAGGAAGGAAGAAAGGACTTGCCCTCAGCCCCCCAGGACAGACGGCATGGGACAGAGGTGGGGAGAGTGCCAGGGCTGCAGGGGTCCCAGTACCTGAGATCAGCACGGCAGATGTGAGTGAGCCGGGAGCGACCCAGGCCACAAGGCTCCATGAGGTACTGGGAAGTGAGCATCATGGCCCGCACCCCTGACTCTGGCACCGGTTGCTCAGGATCCAGGGACTGGGAGACTAGCAGGCAGCCACCACGGGGCAGGTCGGAGCGCCACATCCTGCAGGGAAGGGACACGCATAGTCAGGTTCCCAGCATCCATTCCCGGTCCACCTCCCTGGTCCCGCACGCGTAGCAGGCTGCCAGCCAGAACCCCTCACCGGAGCACCACAAAGTCACGGCAGGGATGGGGCGCCATGCTGTCGGTGACATAGTGGTACAGCTCTACGCCTGGCATCAAGGCTTCCAACACCTGGGCTCGCAGCAGGTCCTCATCCCAGAGGGCCCTCTCCCGCAGAACACGGTGTAGCACCACGGCCGGAGGGGCGGCCACCTCAGTGGACGCCTTCCACACACGCAGGGGGTGCCCGTCTGGTGCCTGTGAGCCATGGGAATGGGGACGGGGGACAGCCATCAGAGCCAGAGAACACCCACTCTGCACCCCCATTCCCCTGGTTCCAACCAGGCTGTCCTCATTTTATCTCCTGAAAATGGAAGTCTTGCAGAGGGGCTCTGCTAGCCCTAGCCACATCCAGACAGGCTGTCCCTGTGTGCCCTGTCCTCTCAGTCCTTTCTGGACGTCTGCTTCTCCACCTAGTCAAAAGCACAGAGATGTCAAGACGCACATCCTCTGGGGCCTACCAGGCTCTACCATGAAAGGGACACGGGGCTTGGAATTCCTGGAGGTGAACAGGAAGAGAAGATGGTGATCGTCCTGAAGGAACTCACCATCGAGCCCAGGCAGGAGGCCAAGGGCACAGCAACCAGAGTCTCTCATCCCCATCCCATAAGGAAAGTTTCACTATGACTGGCACAAACAGAGCAAACTTTGGGCTTGCAGTCTTACTTGTCATTGCAATTCAAGAAAGAAGATGGCTAGTGCCAAGAGAAGGACAGAGAAGTCATCTCCAGTTTGGGACATGACAGGAGGCTCTGAATGAAGGAGAGGGCATATCAAATCAAGACTTCCTGTGGCTTGGGACAGGTAATGCTCGGGCCAGGTCAGCCCAAGCAGCAGGACGGCAGGGGTGGAAGCACAAATGTGCAAGTGTGAGGGGCTCAGCACGGCCATAGTGCAGAAAGATATGGGAGGCGAGGCTCTGCAAAGAGTGAAATGTCTGCAGTGGGGCTTTGGTACAGGAATTCTGGCCCATGATGCCCAACAGAGAGCCCCTGGTCTCATCAGGGTCCTGGTTCCTTAAGGTCCTCGACTCTGCCAGCTGACATCTTCCAAGGTCAAACCAAGGCACGTTGAGACTGGCAGGGTGGCTCCCTCCCTGGGGCCTCTTGACCTCCCTGCCTGCACGGCCCACGCTACCTGCTCCATGGCAGCCACGGGCAGTGCGTTCCTCACCTTCCTGCAAGCCAGCTCCGTGTGCTGGGGCCCTGGCATACTCATCCAGCCCTTGAAGCGCTCAGCAGCATCTCGGAGCAGCTCCTGGATGCTCTCCTCCATGTAGAGGCTCAGGCTCACACCTGCAGCTTGGGCCCGCCGCAGCTCGGCCAGGGCTGGCCCAGGAGGGCTGAGCTCGGCTGCACTATAGGAGCCACACAGTTGCAGCACCATGTCCTGGGGGACCTGGGAGAGCACACACACACTGGGGCCATGGGCAGCAACGGAAGGTTCGGGGCCCATCCATCCCAGAACCCATGGGATCTCTAAGGTCCACGTTCAGGGCCACTAGAGAGGTCTGGCTGTAGGAGTGAGGTAGATGAAAAACCTCATAGGACAGGAGTGGGAAGGTGAGGGGGTCTGTGTCAAGCTGGGCCCTGCCCCTGACCGGGGGTGTGAAGCTCTGTTCTGGTGGCTACCCTGATCTGGGCCTAGGGTTACTCACTTGGAAAAGTTTCTTGCAGTCACTGATCATGTGTGATAGGCCCTGGGTGGCAGCCATGTTCTCACTCAGGTCCCTAGGGCCTGGCCGGCCAACCAGGCTGCGTTTGCTCCTGATCCTGGGGGGCAGGGGAGGAGAGGATGGTGCATTGGCACAAGACAATATGGATGACCTGCTGGCTTCAAGCTCCGCCCCCCCCCCCAACACAAAATAACCTGCGACCCTTTGGAAGGACCTGCTTTGAAAACATCCATGCAGTCCCAGGCCCCTGAAGAGTCAGGCTGACCCCTTGTGGTAATGCCTGGGAACTGCAGGGCCAGCCCTAGAGGGCCTGCCATCCAAAGGGAGCCAAACCCTCCAGCCCCCACCTCACACCGGGCCCTACCACATTCTGCCCTTTTTCACCTGGGTGAGGGGTTATCCTTCTTGGAGACGTTGAGATGGAAGATGGAGGGTGCCAGGCACACGGCTAGGTTGCCGGCTGTCATCTGGTTTTCCTCAGCAGAGGCAATGTCACTTAGGAAATAGAGCAGGGTCTGTAGGACCTCTCGGTTCTCATCAGGGAGCAGCAAGGTGGCGGCCTGCGCTGCTGCCAACCACTGATCTTTGGGGAGGACTGTGAGAAAGGAATGGCAGAAGGGCTTTCTTACTCCCCTAAAGCTTCTGGCAACAAATCTCCTGCTTCTAGGAATGCAGAGGGCACAGCAGTCCCATAGGAAGTCAGTGAGAGGAAAAGGTAAAGATGGGCTCTGGGAGGTCTCTGGGTCCTAGATCAAACCCCACTCTAATGGACAATGTACATTTAGGGAAGCCCCTGTCTTTCCTCGGGGCTTTAGACCATCTTTCTGTATAATGGGTTTGGGGAATAGAATGTGGTCTCCCGGGGCACCTGGGTGGCTCATTCATTAAGCATCTGCCTTCCGCTCAGGTCATGATCCAGGGGTCCTGGGATCAAGCCCTGCATCGGGCTCCCTGCTCAGCGGAGAGCCTCCTTCTCCCTCTCCAGCTCCCACTGCTTATGTTCCCTCTCTCACCATCTCTTTCTCCCTCTCTCTGTCAAATAAATAAATAAAATCCCTTTTTTTTTTTTAAAGAATGTGGTCTCCCTTCAAGGGAGGGAGGGCCTTTCCAACTCCAGATAGCAGATCATCCAACGAGCTCCTGGGGTTTATCTCTCACAAGCCCCGGGATTCAGGGAGCTCAAGAATGGGGCAGGCTTCTGGGGACAAGTGCAGGTGACTCACGCTGGTAGATCTGCAGGAAAGTGGTGGTGAGCTTGCTGGTGAAGATAGGCTCTGGTAGGTCCCGGAAATACTGCTTCAGCAAGTCAGCCACATCATAAGCTGACTGGCCCTCATAGCAAACATTGTCTGGGGACATCTCATTCATTTGGCGCAGGTTCTGGATCCTGGACTTCACCCCCGACTTGCGGAATATGCCCACCTGGCCCATGCAGGAAAGGAAGGGAGAGAGACGTGCAGGGCAGGGGTGGGTGGGGAGGAAGATTATGATGAGGCCAGGCCCAGGCTGGGTGTCAGGAGTGTTGTCCACCCCAGAGACTTCCAAGCCTGCCAGGCTTCCTGCCTGGAAAATGGCAACACCAAAGAGAAGGGTTGTTACAGCGTCAGGGTTAAGGAGAAAGATGGCTGTAGCGGGAATGAGCAGGAAAAGGACCTAGGCTAAGGCAGGTTTCCACAGATGGGGCCTACAGTGCTTGGGCCAGAAATAAGTGGGCAGAGAGCCAGGCAGAGGGGAGCTTCAGCTCAGGAAAGCCCAGAAAGGTCTCTCGTGGGCTAGAAAGTCCCCAGCAGTCCCCCCACCCAGTTCCTTGGCCTTGGATTTCTTCCCCAGGGCTGTCTCCCTGCAGGTCCCCCAGTAGGGCTCACCTGGTCCAGGCACTGGCTGCGCAAGTAGCGCATGGCTTGCTGGATGCTCTGCGGCAGCGGCTGGCCTGTGCGCTGCACATGCACAAGAGGCGGCACCCCAAACACGTGCTGGCCCCGGTAGTCCGGGCTCTTGTTCCTTTTCATGAACTTGGGCACCGACCTGTTTGGGGCAGTAACAAGAGGTCCACTGAGAGCCGTGGGCCTGGTCCAGATGCAGCCTGGAGACTCTGCAGTCTCAGGGGGCTCGGGCAGGGATGGGGGGGTGGGGTAAGAAACACACCATGTCCCCAGGGCCAACACTCCCTGAGCACCGGCTCAGGGCCCGGCCCTAGAGAGTCATAGAGGAACACAGGGAGCTCTCAGGCTGCTTGAGGGGATAACTGCATCAACAGGCAGGGACACTATATGTGGTCGGGGGTGGAGCAAGCAAGAACTTAGGGGTAGACCTACGAGGAAGGGGAACAGTACCTAGTGGATCAGAGAAGCCTTCAGGGAGGATGTGGGCACTCAGCAGGCTCTTGAGGGACAGGTAGGTGTTGTCCCAGAGAAGAAATGGGGAAAAGGTATTCCAGGCAGAGAGAACAGCATGGACAAAGGCAAAGAAGCAGGGAAAAAAAAGAGTATGGCATATTGAGGGAAGAACAATGACCCCAGTGGCCTACCTGGTGGCATTGCCTTAGGGCAGTGGGCTAAGGAACCCAACAGCTGGGGCAGGGCCAGAACATGAAAGGGTCATAATAGGAAGGAAGCTGGACCTTCTTTGGCTCCAGCGGTGGTTGTGGGGGATGGAGGAGGGAGACGGGGGCACGCAGGGTGTTTATCAGGAGAGCAGCAACCAAAGCTGTCTTTCAGGACAATCTCGCTCGTGGCAGCCTGGAGGCTAGGATGGAGGAGATGCGGCTCGAGGACCTAGGGTCCCCTACCCCCACTCCTCCTTGCACACAGCACACACATGCATACACATCCCAGGAGCACCGTTCCCCCACAGACACATGTGCAAGCCATGCTGGCCTCTCGGGCCTTAGCCCCTCCAGCTGCCTGGCACAACATACCATTACTGGCTTCTGGGCCCCTCTTACTTGCACCCACCTTCTGGGGGCTGACCCTCCCAGGGTCCTGGATTGGGAACAGGGAGGGAGTTGGGACCTGGGCAAGAAGTTCCCCACCAACCCGCTGTGGCCCAGGAGTGCTCACCAGACCCATCCTGGCTTGTGGGACACAGTGTACTTCTCCATGAAGGCGGTGAGCCGCAGCAGTGAGCCCTTGTGCAGGAGGTGGATCTGGCCGGCAAACTGGCGGTTGATCTCCAAGGACTCTGAGTTGAGGCTGGGCCGGTGGGAGTTCTGGAAGCTATGCCAGCGGAGCTTCCTGATAAAAGATAGGAGGTGGGCCGAGAAGGCCAAGGGAACAGGTGTGGATAAATCTTAGGAAAGTTTGCACTCTTCTGGTCCCCTTATTCTCCCCCAAAGAAAGCAAATACGGGGAGATACGACCACTGTCAGCACTGCTACTGGGCCCCAGGGTGAAAAACTGAACGCCAGTTTCCAGGGCTGTCTGGTGGCCAAGATGCCGTTGGGGTGGGTGGCCCAGAGCTGAGGCCCATCTAGGGCCAACAAGTAGCACCACTACCCTGCTTCCAAGACTGCAGCAGAGGGACTGCTCCGAGAACCCAAGGTGGCAAAGCTGGGGATGAGAGACCATCTTCTCTAATACCTTTGACTGGCACATGGGGAAAGCAAGGCCCAAAGAGGAGCTAGAATTTGCCCAAAATCACAGCAGAGGCAGGCCCTGAACTTAACCTGGAGGGAATGCAGACCCTGCCCCTGGGCCTCAGGACTAACATACTGGCTTGAGGGAGAGTTGTATGAGGGAGAGAGGGAAAGGAAGAGAAGGAGGAGGGGGCATGGGAATAGGAAGAGACAGATAGACATGACAGAGTCCTCTGTCCCCACCCCTGCTCAAAACTCCCACCTGCAGGGTCTAGTAAGCGAGGCCCCAACGCCTGAATCTCGTCGTTCACGTGGTGCTGATGCCTGAAGTCCAGCTGGTGAGCCTCTGGCTTCGGGCTCATTCACGGAGGGTCCACTACTGTCCAGTTCACTGGAGGAGGCCACGGTGTCAGCAATGGAGTGTCCTTCTTCCATAGACAGGCTGGAAGCTGAGGTGGGTTCCCCACCTGAATTCGCCTCCTGACCATTATCTTGGGCTGGACCCGGGGCCTCAGTATCGGCCTCAGCCTGTGCCTGTGCCAGGGGCTCAGCCTCAGCCCTAACCTGAATCTGAGCTGGGACTACTGGCTGGACATCAGCCTGGCCCAGGGCCGAGTACCCTTGGCGGGCCGGAGCCTCCACCTGGGCCAGAGCCTCAGCTTGCCCTTCGACCTCAACCGTGGCCATCTCTATGGATGAAGTGACTTCCTCCTCTTCTTCCTCCTCTGCCTCCTCTTCCTTCTCTCTAGTCCACAGGTCTGGGTAGATGGCCTGAGACCAGAGTTCCACCCGTTGCTGCAGCCCCCACACGTGCTGGAGAATGTCGTCTAGGTGGGCATAGCTGCTGCTGCCCTCCTCCTCCTCCTCGGCTTCAGCGCCAGCCAGGACGGGCTCCGCTGGGTACAGCTCGGGCATGTTATCATAGACGCTGGCATGGCTGCCTGTGGAGCCACAGGAGCCCCGACGCCCTTCACAGCCCTGGGGCCTCCCTGGCTGCCAATCTGCCAGGTGGTGTCCGTCCTCAGGAAACAGGCTCTCAATGGACAGGGAGCGAGGGAATGTGCCTGGTTTGTGGTCCCTGGGCACGTGCACGAGGCAGGCACCCTGGTGCACCCGCTGTGGATGCCGAAATGGGGCCACAGGCCAGGCCTCCCAGTCCCTCGGGGTTGCAGTGCCACCGTCACCGGCTGAGGTGGCCACCCTGTTCTTGGCCTTGTAGAATCCGGCGGAGAGGAAGCTGCGGCGACTGCAGAAAGAGGAGGGTTTGCTGGTCTTCTCTAAAGTGGCTGGGCCACGCTCAGGCTCTGCTTGCTGACCACGACCCTTTTCCTTCCGCCGGAGAGATTCAAGGTGCTTAAGGAAGCTACGAGAACGGTGCTTCTTGGCTTTGTCCCGGGGACCCTCTTGGCCCTGGGTGGGGCTAAGGAGGAGCTGGTTACTTGGGCTGGGGACATGGCAGGGTGAGGGTAGGTCCTCTGGCTCCAGCGATAGGCCCACAGTGATGGCTGGCAGGGAAGTGGCGCTGAGCTCTGTGAGGACACTCTCACAGCTGGAGGTTCCCGGCAGGCCAGGGCTCGGGGGGGCCAGCAGGTCAGAGGACCCTCTGTGGGACCAGAATTTACTTTCTTGCTGGACAGCCCAGTGGTTGCTGATGGTACACTGCTCTTCTTCTTCTGAGTCTTCATTCTGGGGAAGGAGCCATGGGGTCAGGTCAGGTCAGAGAAGTCCGGTCCCCAAGCCTTTGTTGGTACCCCCAATACTCTGCCTCCAAACTCTTGGGGGACTTTGAGGTAAAGGGCCCCGCCTTCTGACAGAGGACATGTCCTAGGTGGGGAGTTGGCTCTGGAAGCAACAGAATAAGACGGGGAAACCCTGACCGACAAATGAGAAGCCACTTGCCCAAGGTCATACAGTAGCATGCTGTGAGTCAGTGAGAGAGCCAGGGTTAGAATCCAGGTGTCTTGACCTCTTCTCCTCAGCAGCTCCCCAAGCCTCTAGGCTATGGTCTTAGATTAGAACTATGGAATGCCAGAACTGGAAGGGGATTTTAGATTTTCTAATTCTCTCCTTTGCAATATGGGGAAATCAAGGCCCAGAGAGGGGAAGAGGCTTGCTCAAGGCCACTGAGCTGTTGGTGGCAGAGCTGGGACCAGGTTCCAGGGGTTTCCTGCTTCCCAGTCCAGCTTAGCTAAACCTCTTGGCTCCAGACCTCTGGTGGAGAAAGACCCAGAAGAAACCCATGAAGCTGGACCCTACAGAAAGACGAGATCATCAGGGCTACATATGGACTGAGGATCCTCTCCGTCTCTGCAGTCCCAGATTGGTAGAGTCAGAAAGGCCCCTTGAGGCTATTAATGCTCCCCTCCAGTTCAGTGCGGAGATGGGGAAAATGAGGCTCAGGGGTATAAGACCTCATGGGGACACGGCTGGGGATCTTGACTCCTCACATCATATAGGCTATGATTTTTCTACCACATTATTCTGTCTCTGCTCCCTAGGCAAGGATTTCTTGCCATCACAAAGCAGACGAGGCAGATAGACTTCCCTGAGGAAGGGCCATCACTGGATCAATTTATGAGTAAACTCAGTGGGGAGAGGGGTGCCGAGGCGGGTGTGTGAGGCCACAGGCCAGGGTACTTGTTCTCAGACTCCAAAACCCAGACTCCAAAACCCAGACTGCCAAAACCCAGCAGGATCATAGAGTCCCTTATACTTCACTCCCAGGCTAGACCAAGGCACCGCTCTGTACACCCCAGAGTCCCAGGATCCTGGAGCTACTTTTGTAAGTGGTCTGCATATATCCTGGGTTCCCCCATGGTGCCACAAGGCCCCAGGACCCACCCTTGCCATGACTCACCTGCTTGCTTTGAAAGTGAACTTCCAGTTTCATCGAGGCACAATTGTTCAAGGTCATCAGCCTCCTGTAAGGAAAAAAAGCAGCACTCACCCAAGGGTCCCAACCAAAGCCTGCAGGGCATGATTTACCAAGACAGTCCCAAGATGCCATCCACTACTTTACGTGCCTGAGCCATCAGAACATCTCCAAAGACCCGGTGTTCAGGAAGCTTTCAGTGCCAGACACAGTGCTAGGGAGATTATGGCTTCTGTCCTCTGGGAGCTCATATATGCACAATAAACCACGACAGAGATGGGGCAAGTTTAAGAACAGTATATACGGAGGTACAGCAGGCATACAGAGGGTGGGACAAGGAACTTCCTCGAAGGGGGATGGGATTCGGAAGGAGAAAAAGGGAAAAAAAGAACTGGGAACTTCTAACCCAGGCTTCCACAAGAGGCTGTGACAAGGTAGAGAGGAAAACAGTCAGTAAACAGACCAGTGCTGGTGTGACAGAGAGGCTGAGGCTGATACGGTTGGTCAGAGCCCAATTGCAAAGCTGCCTCGTGTTTAAAAAGCTTCACTTTCCTCTGTAGGCAGCTGCACACACCAAGCAGAGGGGCACCTGCTTGGAAGCTGAAACTGGGAGCCATAGAGAGAGAGTCTGGATCAGGGTGAGGAGGGGAATGGCAGGAAGGCCAGTTAGTAGGCTATAGACCGGATCCAAAAGGTTGTGCTTTGGCCTGAAACACGGCCCAAACCAGTGTAAGCAGAGGGGGGACAAAGCAGAGGAATGTCTGGGGAATAGAACTGAAGGGAGAAAATGAATCAAGGCCAGATCTTGGCTCTCTGGCTCAAGTGTCTGTGTGGCGAGGAGTCACGGACACAGAAGACAGTGAGCAGTATGACTGCTGCAGAGAAGCTTTGTTACAGGCTGGGCTTCTCCTCTGGTGGAAGGGCCGGGAACTGATTCTTTCCCAGGGAAGCCCACAAGCCCGGCCCTGACTTCTCAGGCCTGGCCCTCAGCGCCCCCTACCTGCACAGGGCCCCCAAAGAGTCCTCGTCCAGAAAACCGTGGTCCTTCTTCACAGAGCCAATATCCAGAGGAAACAGACCTTCTGTATGGCAGAAAAAAAGCCAAGATGAGTCATGGGTAGTAGGTCAGAAACTCAGTGCCAGCAACCATTGAGGAGGAAAGGGGAGGCCAGGGAAGAGAGGAGGCCGGAAGGCAAAAAGCAAAGCAGAAGGAGCAAGCCTGGAGTAAAGGAGAGGCCCAGGGAGCTTGGGGTTGACCATCAGAGGCAAGTCCAGGGTTGAGGGAAAGGAGGGTTGAGCTGGATGAGAGGACCCGGCAATAAGCAGGTCCCTGGGAGATGGCAGGCCCGAGGACTTGGGTGACCGTCAAGAGCCAAGCTCGCCTCCCACCCCCAGTCCCCTTTGAATCCTGGGCTACTCAGACAGGGAACCTCTTTCCAGGCCCAAGGTGAAGTGGGAGCAGGGAAAGAGTGAGGACAGAGAGGACAATGTGCAGCCAAACAATACCTCATTTCCTCCTACTTTTCCAAACAGGGGAGCCCACTCCCTGGGATGTAGGAAGGGGAGGGGAGAGAGGAAGGAGTAGGGTCGGAGGACAACGCATCCAGGAAATCCCACACCTCTCTGCCTGACTGCCAAAAGAAACCCATTTTCTCATTTAACTGACATTATCTGAGCACCTACTTGGTGCCAGGTACTGGGGATAAAACAGTGAATGAGATAAAAATGATCCCTGCCTTCATGGAGAGACCGTGTGTGGAATAAGATAAGACAGTTCTAAATGCCACAAAAAGACATTAGCCAGGGTGATAGGGCCAAGGAAGGCTGGCGGGGTCAGGGGCACTCATAGAGAGGTGACTTCTGAGCCGAGTCCTGCAGAATAAGAGGGGGCTGGCTGGGCCAAGAGCCTGGGAAGAGGATTTCAGGCAGGACTAACATTAAGGCTCTGAGGAAGGGAAGGTGTGAAGGAGTGGTAGGAAGGAGCCTGGGATGTAGTGAGCAAATGGAAGGGGACTAGACAGAAGTTGGGTGACATAGTCTTGCTGGCCAGAATAAAGCATGTGAGCTTACCCTCATTCTGAGTGTGCCAGGAAAGCAGCAGAGAAATGGCAGAGTGAGGCCCGAGGCTCGCTGGGTTCCTCTGGCTGCCATGGGCTGATGAGAGGCAAGAGGAGGGGGATGCAGGAAGGAGGCTGGTGCTCTAAGGCAGGCGAGCAGTGATGGTGGCAAAGTGATGGTACAGTGTACATCACTGTACCAGTGATGGTACAAAGGAGGTGGCAGCAGAGGTGGTAGAAAGTGGACTGATTCGAGACATAGTATGGAAGGAGAAAGTGACCAGCTGGAGGAGAAATGGAGGGTGAAGGAGAAAGAGAACTCAGGGGTGATTCCTGGCTGTGGGGCTTGAGTGCACGGTAGTGCCCTCAGGAGATGGAATTGAGACCTGCTCCATTTGAGATGCCTATCAGGCAGATGAGATACTGAATTGGTGGTTGGCTAGATGAATCTGGAACTCAGGAATGAGGTCTAATGGAACTATTTGGGAAGCACCAGAAGATACATGGTACTTGGAGAAGGATCACCTGGGAAAGAAAGGTGGAGAGGGAAAAGGGGCCAAGATTGAACTCTGGGATACCCCAACATTTAGACACCAGTTAGAGAAAGCAGAGTCTGTTATAAGAAGACTTACAGTGGCAGCTAGAGAGAGGCAGCCAAGAGAAGCGAGTGTTCCAGAAGCTGAAGCGAGTGTTCCAGAAGCTGAAGTGAGTGGCCAACTGCACTGAAAGCTCTTAAGAGATTAAGACTGGGGAGGAACCACTGAATTTGATCATGTGCAAGTCCACAGTGACCTGGACAAGGATTGTTTTGTTGGCAAAGTGGGAGTGAAGGCAGGGTACAGTGGGAAGTGTGGGAAGAAGAGGGAACGTGGAAACAACAAATATAAACAACTCTGAAGAAAAACAGAAGAATGAAGGGAAACTGAGAAATTGAGGCCATGCGGAGGCTGAACCCTGGGTTGCATCTGCAAATGGCACCCTCAGAAGCAGTATAGTGCAGGGGCTCCCTGGTTGAGACAATGTACTTGAACATAACGGTGACACCAGAGCTTAGGAGAGCCAATCAGAGTGACCCACCGGAGATGATGGGGTCGTGATGGGAGCAGGACCAATGTTCACAGCTTCTTGTGTCGTTGGAGAAAGGATCTGATTGGCCTCATTTTACAAACAAAAAACGAGAGGGATAAGGCAAGGTTTGGGGGTAGGGAAAGGGGAGCAACAGAGTAGCCTTACCTTCAAAAAGCTGTGCATACTGAGGGAATCCTGTCGCTCGGAGCCACTTGCATGCTCTCTTGGCCTCAGCTTCTAAAACGGAACAGAGGGACAGAAATAGGCCGAGACATGGCGTTAGCTGGGTGCTGGCATGGAGCCACGCTGGGTGTACGCTGCCTCACCTCGAGTTCTCATGATCCAGAAATGGCAAGGAGAGCATGGTGAGGGCTGGCATATCCGCTGCTGGGATTTACCTTCAGTTTCCCACACCCAACCCTCTGTATGTCCTGGCACACCCTTCTTGAACCTCACTCTCTGCCTGTCCCACTACTCCTCTCCCTCTCCCACACCTGCCCAAGAACAGAACCCACCAGCAGCAACTCCTAGGAAAGGAGGGAGTCAAGGAGTACTGCTGGGGGAAGAAGCCATGGCTATGTCTTCACCTTTCCTTTCTTCGGGAAGCTGTCCCCCTTCCGTGGCCCTGGGGAGGCCATCCTAGTCCAGCTAGGGATACAAAATGTTCAAGGATTAGCCTTATCTTTCCCACCATTATTCTATGTAACATTCCCCAGCACTTTGAGAACCGAATCTCACTTAGCACACACAACATGCCATGAAGAAGGCTGTACTCTCTCTATTCTATGGCTCTCTAGACAGGCTCAGGAAGGAAGGGACTCCTCCATAGTTTCACAGTTGACCAAGGTAGCAGTGCTCGGGCCAGAGTTCAAACTCAGTCTGACTCCTCCTCAGGGCTCCTACCCTTCTGATCCGGCAGCCTTCCCAGTGCTCACCCTCCCTGGCCACATATCATCATCGATTTCTAGCCCTCCCTCCCCTGGCAGCCTCCCGAGACTGCTCCAGCTCTCCCCAGTGGTTAGGCCTATGTGATATAATCCAGTGCTGATTGTCCTGATGACGCAGTGCGGACCTGTGGGAATCTTAGAGGGTAGTGGTGGGATTAGCTTCCTACCTCTGCACTGGGAAGGCCCAGCACCCCTACTAGCTTCAACAGAGACATGCACCTGGACTAAAGGAGGTCGGGTGGGCTGAACACCACCAGCAAAGCCCTGGTCCTTAGCGCCCACGACCAGGGGACTCCAAGGAGACTGGTGAGGTTTCTCTGAGACTGGGATAGCTCTTGCTTTCCAGGGCTTTCCTGCAGGGAAATCCAGGATGAGGCCCTAGCAGCTGGGACCGGGAAGTTAAAAGACAAAACAGTACTTGAGAGAATGCCAGGTGGGGAGCCAAGAGAGGGAAGAGGGCAGAAAGGTGGAAGCTGGTTAGAAAAAACAACAGGCTTCTCAAGGGTCACACACTGATGGGGATTTGAGGGGGGAGGGGAGAAGGCTCTGGAGCCCCTGACAGCTTTGAGGGCAAACAGGAGTGCAGGGATGAACATGGGGATGCTCATCTGTGATGATGGTGGGGGATGGGGATGAACATCTGTGCGTTTCCTAGAGTGAGGGCCACCCCCAGCATCTCCCTCTGCTCACAGCTGCAGCCAAGTCTGCTCAGGTCCATGATCCATGAAGATCAATGTGGGATGGCGCTCCTGTACATGGACATGGACAGGCCCCTCAGTCTGTGTATGCACCCGAAACTGTGCACATGCACGTGTTTTTTGTTACTGCAACCTTCTAACCTATGACAAAGATCTAAGGGTCATCAGGACTTCCGAGAGGTCCTGGAAGGCATTTGTTCCCACAGAGCTCAGCCAACAGTCCCCCAGACCCTCTGGCAGGGGGCAATGCAGGCCTGGGAGAGGACTCAGGTCTCTAGACAAGAGGCAGTCTGTGAGAACTGTGCTAAGAGCTGCTGGAAGGGACTTTGCCTCAGCCCAGGAAGCATTTCAGGGACATGGTTTTGCTGTAAGGACAGCTGAGCCAGTTGCGATAACCACCTCCCTGTCTTCTGATCCTACCACAGCCCCAGGAGAAGGCCCTTATCCATCCTCAGAGTCCCTGCCAGCAGCCAGCTCTGCTATCCCATCATCAGGACAAAGAGAAGGTCCCGAAGGAGGGATCTGCTAGGAGTTTCCAGAAAGGCAGGCACAGAAGGAAACAGTCACCCCTAATGGACCACGTGTATGGGATGGCCACCCCAGGCAGAGCCATCAACCCCAGGGATAGGCCTGCATGGCAAGGACACACCTTCAAAGTCCACTCAGTCCTTTGTGGTTAGCGGCAGAACAAAGAGCAAAAGGAAGGAGAGAAGCACCAGCCTGTCCGTGACTCCTGGGCTCCTTCCTAAGCCTGAAGGAGGTGGGAGAGTGCAATAATTAAGTGTACATCTCAAATACCTGCACCATCTACCCAAGCCATGGAGGCAGAGCCCACAGGAGAGTGGCGAGCTGCCTGTTCCTCTCGTGTTAGGCAGTGGCTCTAGCCAGGGTTGTTGGGAAGGAAACAAGGTCACACGAGTGGGCACCAAGTTCTTTCACTGCTACCTAGAGCCCTCAAGCCTCCTGCTATTCTACGTGTGATCCCTGGACCAGCAGCCATCAGTATCGCTGGGAACCTGGTTAGAAATGCAGAGTCCCAGACCTACCGAATCAGAATTGACATTTATTTAACTAGATCCTGAGTTGATCTGCATGCACATTAAAGTCTGAGAAGCACTGGCCTATATTACCTAGCTCAAGGATTCTCACCCTTGGATGCACATTACAATCAGCTAGGAAGCTTTAAAAAATACCAATTTCCTGGGTCCCCATCCTCAGAGGCTGATTTAATTGCTCTGTGGTGAGATTCTCCAAATCAACACTTTTTTTTAAAGATTTTATTTATTTATTTGAGAGAGCTAGAGAGAGAGCAGAGCAGCAGGCAGAGGAGAGGGAGAAGTGGACTCCCCACTAAGCAGGGAGCCTGATGTGGAGCGTGATCCCAGGATGCTGGGATCAGGACCTGAGCTGAAGGCAGATGCTTAACTGACTGAGCCCTCCAGATGCCCCCAAATCAGCACTTTAAAAAAGCTATAGTATGGGGTATATTGAAGCCCAAGGGGCTTTTCTAACTCTCACAGTTATTTATGTGTCACAGTTAAGACTATAACCTTCATCTTTTCTTTTTTTTTCAAAGATTATTTATGTACTTATTTGACAGAGAGAGAGAGAGTGAGAGAGAAAGAGATATCACAAGTAGGCAGAGAGGCAGGAAGAGGGGGAGGGGGAAGCAGGCTTCCCGCTGAGCAGAGAGCCCAATGCGGGGCTCAATCCCAGGACCCTGAGACCATGACCTGAGCCGAAGGCAAAGGCTTAGCCCACTGAGCCACCCAGGTGCCCCTTCTTTTTATTTAAATTCATTACTTAACATACAGTGTTATTTTAGTTTCAAGTGTACAATACGACGATTCAATACTTCCATGCATCACCCAGTGCTCATTACAAGTGCCCTCCTTAATTGCCATTACTGATTACAGCCATCCCCCCAGCCACCTCCCCTCCAGTAACCATCAGTTTGTTCTTATGGTTGAGAGTCTGTTTCTAGCTTGCTTGCTCTTTTTCCCTTTGCTCATTTGTTTTGTTTCTTAAATTGTCTTTCTCTGACTTATTTCGCTTAGCATAAGCCCCCTAGCTCCATCGATGTTGTTGCAAATGGCAAGATTTCATTCTCATTTATGGCTAGGTAGTATTCCACTGTGTGTGTGTGTGTGTGTGTGTGTGTGTATACACACACACCATATCTTCTTTATCCATTCATCACACTTGGATCGCTTCCATAGCTTCCCTATTGTAAATAATCCTGCTACAGACATAGGGTTGCATGTATCCTTTTTCATCTAGTGTTTTTGTACCCGTTGGGTAAATACCCAGTAGTGTGATTGCTGGGTCATAGGGTAGTTCTCTTTTTAACTCTTGAGGAACCTCCACACTGTTTTCGAGAGTGGCTGCACCAGTTTGCTTTCCCACCGACAGTGCAAGAGGGTTCCCCTTTCTCCACATCCTCACCAACAACCGGCGTTTCTTGTGTTGTTGATTTTAGCCATCCTGGCAGGTGTGACATGGTATCTCCTTACAGTTTCGGTTTGCATTTCCCTGATGGTAAGTGATGATGAGCATCGTTTCATGCACCTGCTGGCCATCCGGATTTTTCTTTGGAGAAATATCTGTTCATGTACAACCCTGATCTTTTCATTTCCTGTCCAGTTCTCTTTTCCATGGAGTTACACCACCTGCCCTCAAATGCCAGGTAAACCAAGGGCTTACACTCAAAGGAACCAACTCCATGTCCCCTCAAATTTTCCACCCTTCTGATTGAGTACAGTTACAAGACTGAATTGAAATCCTGGTGCTACCAGTCATGAGCACTCTGACTTCGGGCAAGTTATTTAACCTCTGTAAGACTCAGTTTCCCCCTCTGTAAAATGGAGGTAATAGAGTCTACTTGGAAAAGCTACTGAGAGCATTAAGTAAAATACTAAAGAGGGAGAAAAAAAAACAATAACCAAAACCCCCGATGCATAGTATAAACACTTGCCACTAAATGAAGGGTCTGAAGGAAAAAGGACAAACAGAAGAAAGAAGCCCAGATGGCATTTCCTTTTGGGTCTGTAAAGTGGCTGCATCCACATTACTGTCAAAATTACAGCCAAATGGCTCTGGGAAGTGAGGTTAGTTAGGAGGCAGATGTTTCAAAGAGGCCACAATAGCTCCAAAAGACAAAGGAGCCAAGGAGTTTGAAGCAGGGCTATGGACTGAATCCCCAGCAAGTACTCCCTGGCAGGAATCTGGAGAATGTAATGGGTTATTACCCAACAGGATGTCAGGGACACTGCCTCCCAGCATTACACCACCTCGCGGAGGTCTGGGAGGCCCTGAGGCTCCCTCCCAGATGAAGCAGTCAGAGACATATGTCTTGGTGATTAAGGACTGAGCTAAAGTACTTTGCGTTCACTCCTCCCACCCGCCCCAGCCTGCCCAGGCTGGGACCGGAAGTGACCACTCACCCCCAGCAGAGTCCACTCCCCTGAGGTGTTCTAAACTCAGAATTGCCTTCTGTGCCTGGCGGGGAGAGTGACACCGGGCAGGCCGAGGCGAGTGATGAAGGAATGTCTGTGTCCCCTTGTCCTGCTTCTGTGTCCAGATGTACAGATTT